CATTTCTTTTAATTCTGTTTTTGTAGCAAATGAGCTAAAAGATCAACAGCTGATTTCAGTTTAGAAAGCAAAGAGACTTCAATTTTTTTTTGTTTTTCTTTGCTTGTGCAGTGTGAGTCATCAGAAGGGGGGGGAGAGAGAGAGAGAAAGAGAGAGAGGGAGGGAGGGATGAGTCACAGCAAAGCTGAAATACCAAAAGGGTAGCTCAGTGGGAAACAAAGGAAAACCACTTATGCATAGAAGAGCTCCAGGAGATAAAGCTAATTGTTTATTTTCTTCCTTAAACCAGGGGAAACAATGCAGTGTAAAAGGGACAGAATATCTAGAATCCTGGGGTACAATTTATTTATGAATGAGCAAAGCCAATATGACATGATGAGGCAAGTGGAAACCACTTTTTCCACTACATTATAAGCAGTCATTACTTCATTGCTGATTACCTAGTAGTCTAAGAAAGCAAAACAATTTTCTCCCCCTCCCTAATATTGTATGTTCCAAACATAATTGGATTCCAGCCCATCCTTAAGTTTAGTCCCACCTTTATATTTGTATTATTACTGTGATTAATGAGTATATGTATGTATAAGAACATGAGAGAAGTTAAGTTGCTGATTCTCAGTAGCTTGTATCATCTTGATCTTGTTCCCAATTACTAAGGATACAGGTAGTCCTCAGGTTACGATGGCAGTTGGGACTAGAATTTCCATCACTAAGCAATGCGGTTGTAAAGCATGATGTCACATGACCGCATCACTTTGTGACAGCAATTCCGGCAGTCCCGGTTGCTGTCCTAACTTGAGGACTGCCTGAGTCATTAAGTGATCACAATTTTTGACTTCCTGCTGGGTTCCCCATTGACTTTGCTTGTGGGAAGCTGGTGGAGATGTTGGAAATCGCAATCATGTGACTGCGGGGACACTGTGACAGCCAGAACTCCTAGGACTGGTCATAAGTACCATTTGCTCAGTGCCGTCATAACTTTGAATGGTCACTGAATGAAAGGTCATAACCTGAGGACTACCTGTACCAGTGTCTGCTAGATTTATTTGGTTATCACTTAATCTTTGCCTAACATATTTTAGGGAAGTCATAGCTATTCCTACCATTTGTAGGGCCTTTTTCAGTAAAATCTTAGGAGCAGGAATAACCAAGAATTCTAGTTAATGCTATTCTCTGGATATGGACTCATTGCTGATTTATAATCCTGGTTTTCAGCATTAGAGAAATAATTTCTGATAACTTGGTGACTGCTTGGGTGACCAAGTAAGATATAAATTTGAGTGCCTATGCCTATAAGTGAGATTTCCATCAGTTACAGCTTTTTTTTCAGCCATAGATGACAAGCTGTCTCCAACAAGGAGATGTTAAGTCATATATCAAAAGCAAAGTGTCTGCTGTATGGACTATGGGATAAAGAACAGTGGATGCCATTTACTTATGTCAGTTTCAACTTATTTCATGGCAAATGGGGTTCTTTGGCAAAAAATGGAGGGGTACCAATACTTTTGGCCGGGTCTGTGTATCAGAAGGACAAAAAAGGCAGTAAAGCGAAAACTTCTGAAGAACTCGTGGTTCTCTTCTGTCACTTGCTGCTTTAAAAGATGCCTCATTTCACACTTAATTATTTAGTGACACGGATCTTCCCTGCCACTTACCTGCTCTGTCTCAACAAAGTTAGAAACATGACCATCATCATTGACTCCTCGTATGTGAAACCGGGCACCAGCTCGCTCACAACTAATCCGGGAGATGAGACAGGCTTTTGCCTTCTTGTGAGATGCATAAAGAGTACGAATGTCCACCACACCACAAATCACTTTTAATAGCCAGTCTGAACAGTTCACCTGATAGTGTTTAAAAGGGACATGCAATAGCTGGTTCCTGTAAGAGTCAGCAAGACAGAAAGAAAGATTATACATGTACAATACATATGTACACATACATATACACACACTTTATATCTGTATCTGCATCTCTATATCCAAATCTAGATCTATCTCTAACAAAATTAGTTTAGTATGATGTTTTTCCCTGTGCAGTTCACAAATTAAGCCCAATACACGAGGTACCAAATAATTTCCTAACCAGGCCAAAAAACAAACAAACAATAATACAGATAAGCACAGATAGCTAGAAAGTCACAAAAGGAAGAAAGTTTTAACTGTATGATTTAAAAGTGTTGGTTATGACCTGAATTTTTACAAGTGTTTTTTGTTCACTGTTCTTCAGCAATAAAAACTGAGAATAAAATCTTTTATTTACTTATTAGTTAAATTCTACCTTTCCTCCTTGAGGACCTCATAGCTATCCTCCTTACTGACTCTTTCAGGTAGGCTGAGCTATGGAAGAGCACCTAACGCCCAGTGAGCTTCCAAGGCTGAGAGGAGACTGGAATCTGGATCTCCCCAATCTTAGGCCATAACCATTAAATCACTATATCACATTATCTCATGAATGCCACAAAAACTACCTCTAATTACCTAAACTAGGCAGTAAATCTGCATATCTTGTGACTCACAAAGCTGAATTCAGTCAAGTGCTAAACAGGACCTACTTAGTGTTTCTGCAGCCACAGAATGGTAGAAAATCTAACTCAAGTGTTTGGGGCCTTCTGGTCGATGTTTAACTGCTGGTATGTATTCAGCTTGGCGGAGTTACTATATTAATGTATTTGTTCTGCAACTGTTCATTTTGCATCACCATTTAAAGCAAAAAAGTATAGAAAAATAATGCAGTGGTTTTAGTAGTTTTGCATATGATTATGCTGAAAAACTTATATTGCTTTTGTATGAATATGGATCTATATATTTTTAGTTGAAAACTACTGATCATTCAGTAGAATTCATTTATTAGTTTTGCATAGGAAGGAGGGCACAGCATTCTCAGAAAACATATTCCACCAATATAACTCTAACAAGTCCTATTGTTTTCTCTTAATGCAATCAGTGGAGATAATATAACCAAAGACTTTAACTTCTCTTGTTTAGATCAATGGAACTTAGCCTGGGGTACAATACAGTTAAGGTAAACAAGTGAAGGAAAATTGTCTCCATTAAGCATGTTCAAAATATATTTAAGCCTGGTACTCAATATGTGAAATCATAAGGATCTAAGAAGATCCTGGATGGATCGCAGTAAAAATTAATCTTTCCTAGCAACATGTTTCTCACAGTGGCCACCCAGATACCATTTGGTGTTACCCCCCACATATAGAGGGTAGCCACCTCTAGTAAAGAACTTTTTCTGTTCTGAAATATTTGGCTCCTTGAGGAATGTAAAGAAGTCCATTAGACACAGTTGCCTTCTCCACATGGGAGCACCTATCCCACTTTCTTAAAATGCAAGCTTTCTCTGGTCACGTTGCACTTCTGAAGCTGGCTTTGCTGTTAGAAAAAAGTGGGCAAGAAATATGATAAATAAGTAACACAAAACCTTTAGCAAGCAGAAAACACGTAACTATGTAAAATAGTAATTATGTAGATGCACAGATTCTCCCTCACTTTTTTCAACAAAATTACTTGGCTTCAAGGTACTGCATATGTCATTCATGTAGGCTTCTTTTAATATATGTCTCTACCTTCATAACAATTCATTTATTTTTCACTCAACCTTGCTTTTCATACTTCTGTGCCACATGTCACAGGAAAAGCCTCATGTATCAAAGCAGCTGCTTCAGGTGCCTCTTGGCTTAAGTATCATTATCAGAGCTTACATTATTTTAAAGTATAGTAAATAAAATGCATTGAACTTCTCAAAATTCAAAGCAAAAATAAATGTAAACGTGTTACAGATTTCATAATTTTGCAAGGATGGGCAAGATCTATGATCATCCAGTTATTGCTAAACTAAATTTATTTATTTATTTCTATAGCCATCCATCTCACACAAAGCAACTCTGGGCAGCATGCTAGGCTGCCCAACTCCGAAACAATTCTGGGAAGCTTCACAAGTTAAAAAGGAATATTATATAAAAAACAATGATCATCTGAGGGACAACATAACATCTTGCTACATCACCCCCAACTCAAAGAGGCCAACTCAAACACCTTAAGCCAAGGCTTGGGCAAAACTCCTGTTTTTAAAGACTGCTTGAAGGTGGGCAAAGTGAAAACCATATGAATCTTGGAGGGGGGGATACTGTTCTAAAGAGCTGGTGCTACAACCGAGATGGCCTCCTTCCTGGTGTTAGCTAGATGGCATTGCCTAACTGATGGGACCTGAAGCCAGCCAACTCTGTCAGAAGACACAGGATGGGCCGACCCTACAGGAAACAGACAGTCCCTCATATAGCTAGTTCCTATGGCATGTAGGCTTTTCTAAGTAATAACCAGCATCTTGAACTGCACCCAGAAGCCAAATGGCAACCAGTGCTGCTCACATAGCGGGGTGTTACATGGGCAAAGTGACACTTGTCCATCACTGCTTATGTTGCCACATTCTCAACCCATTTTAGCTTCTGAATAGCCTTCAATGGCAGTCCCATTTAAAGTGTGTTGCAGATGTCCACCCACAAGGTGACCAAGGCATGAGTGACTGTAAGGAAGACCTCTTCATCCAGGAGTGGGAGCAACTGGTACACAAGTTGAAGCTGTGCAAAGACCTTCTTGACCATCTCAAGCAGGAGCTGAGAATCCAGGAAGGCACCCAGATTGCCCATCAATCCCAACCAGGGCAGTGCAATCCCATCGAGAACCAAAGGTCCCCAGAACTAGGAGGATCAAGGACACACGGGCACTCAGCCTGCTAAGACTGAGGCTGAGCCTGTTCCTCCCTAAGCAGACCCCAACAGCCTCCAGGCACTGGGACAAGACCTTGACAGCATTGCTTGGTCAGCCAGGGGTCAAGATGTACAACTGAGTATCAAGAGCACACTGATGATATCTGACCCTGATCTGATGGATGATCTCCCTCAGCAGTCTTATATAGGTGTTAAACAGGAAGGGCAAGAGCACTGACTCCTGTGATGCACTGCAAATCAGGGGCTTCAGGCTTGACCTCTCCCCTCCCCCACAAGACCAACTGGAATATTCTTCCTAGCAGCCCAATAGATGGTCCTGTGGCTGATCCCTACCTAAGAAAGGACACACAAAAAAGGACTGCTATTTGGGTATCAGTAGACACAATAAGAGAAGATAAATATCTATGTTTAGCTGTTTCTATCACCACCATGGGGGCTCTTGCTCATGATCAGTCAGATTTGTTCTTTGTCTCTCAGCAACAACACTTGAGGTATCTCTTCTGATGATTCATCTCCTAGAGTTCCTCAGAGAATCAATGAGTCCACTGGGATCAGAGGATACAGAGAGTGCATAGAAGTGATCCAAGGCCTTGGATGAATAGCCTACCAGAACTTCAGGGAACACTCCAAGAGCCCTCTAAAGTCTCTCTGGGTCCATCAGATGCCTTTGGGGGGATGGGGAGGTAGCAATGAGAGAGTGATCTGACCATGACAAAGGACTGATGGTAATGTCCTCCACCTTCAAATCATGTTATAGCTGCTCCAAGACAAAAATTCAATATAATGTGCAACCTCCAGGATGTGCCAGGTCCTCAATAATTTGGGACAGGTCCATGGTTGTCATGAGGACTATGAACTCCTGAGCAACCCCAGACTTGGAGGCTGGTTATAATCCGCAAGGGCTATCAGCCTCAGGGATTCGACTGCTAACTCAGCAACAGAATATAGAAGCTCAGGCAGGGATGTCCCTATGTAGGAGAGAGACTAGAAGAGCAGCAGCAAACCCAACTGCTCCCTAGAGCCCAACTTCAGCCATAAGGTCTCACATCTGGTTATCAGCAGCACAGACCCTCTAAAAGCCAACAAAAGTTCCCAAACGACAACTACCATCCCTCCTCCCCTGCCCTGGAACTGTAGCTGATACCAAATACAATACCACATTTCCAAGGGGGAAGCCTCCTACATCTCAGTAATGCAAGCCTGGTTGGCTGATTTTTCCTCAATCAAGTCATGGATAAGGATGGATTTATTGCACGCAGACCTGGCATTTAGAAACTACAGCCATAGACCAAGACCACCAAGGACTGAATGACCTCACCACTGGCCATACTGAGAGGGCTACTGGGAATTAAGGCCCAGTAACATCTGGAAGGCTGCACATTGTCCATTATTAGAAAAAACGCGGGTTGCCTCACAAATGCTTAACATTCAGAACTAGCTCACACATGCAGTGGGGAACAGGAACAAACTCCAGATGCTATTTCTGATTCAAATTAAAATAGTCTTCCCCATACTGATGCCTCCAGTCTGTTGGATTCCCAGAACTCCCAGCCAAAATTCCATCTCCAGGTAGAATAGCATGTCTTATAATTGCCATAGCCTACTATCTGCAAATGAACAACACTTTAAGCTTTAGGTAGTGCAATCTTGTGAAAGGTCTACTGAAGTCACAGTTCACTACTATGAAAATATCACAGGATTGGAGCCCAGATTTTTTGATATCTGGTCCTCCCTCAAACGCAAATATCTGGTTGCTTTAGTAATGCTGTTTTCTGTAGGTCTGTTTTAGTTCAAGGATGAGCAATCTGAAGACATCCAGATAATGTTGGACTACACCTCCTACCACTTTATCATTGGATATGCTGGGTAGAGCTCATGGAAATTTAACAACATCTGGAGGCTACATGTTAGTCATTTCTGTCTTAGATCCAGAAAAACTCCAATCCTTCATAATGGTCATGTATGTAGTAGAAATACCCAATATTCTAGATCCATATACTGCATACTAGGACACAGCTCATGGTACTAACCAGAAAAATGAATTTCCAGTTTGATAGCTGTAATCATCTTTCTTCTGGGCTCGGATAGTGAGATCAAAGTTTGACCCTGAATTTGGCCAAGAAAAATAGAAGACCCCAGAATTCAGAAGTTTTTTCAAGGCAGAAACACGATCTTCTTCCTTAGTTTCTTCTTGGAGAGCACAGAATTCAGTTGCTGTGATCTTGTAAACTTCAGTATCAAGGATTTTTCCCACTGATGTACAGCCTGTCACAAGAACCAGGAAATGCAGAGTGGAGTTGCCTACAAAATGACATGTATATTATGGTTATATATGTATATAACTGCTTATGCCGCTCAAGATTTTATCTACAAAGGCAACCTATTATATTATTTCACTACATTTGTCAGAAGAAGACAATGAGTCCTTGTTAGGCTAGTAATCAGAGGCTAAAGTTAAGAAATGTATCTGTCTGGAACTCTCTGTAGATATGAGAGAATTATACATTGGCATAATTAAATTTATAAATCTTTAGAAGTAGAACATGTATCTGCAAACACAGATATATTACATTACTGTCTACTCCAATAGCTGGAGATTTCTAGAAGGCTTGAAAATAATGCTTAACCCCAACCTTCAAGATATAGGACCATAATAAAATGTAACTTAAACATCTTTTCAAGCCAGCCATTGAAGCCAAAACAAAACCAGTGGCAAAGCTCTAAGAAACAGTAATGAAGTTTAGGGGAACCGAAGAACCAAAAAATCTAGAACAGAAAACAGGTTTTCATGTAGACATTGTGCAAGGCTCTCTAATGAAACCATTTTCCGACTGTCACTGAAAATGCCACTGTTTAATAGCCGTATATCTCATTTTATTCGATACCCTGAGAATAATTTTTAAGCTCCAAGATAGGAATACTACATTAATCCTCTGTCCAGGTCAGCCATCTGGACTTTTGTAAAACCCAACTGTTTCCCCCCAGAAATGTCTTGTCAGTATTTACATATCACCAATTCAGCATGTTCTTCCAAGCAGTTTACAAAATAAGTACCATATATGGGCTGTTAAAATCTAAATGGCCACTAGATGGCAGCAAAGAGTTGGTTTTTCAGCATCTTTCCTACCATCTATCTGAACTTCTGCAGCCCAGATAAGCTAGTTCTATTCACAAATCAAAGCCACACTGTATTTATGTTTTTTATTGAATAAACCACAGTTACTTGGGTGCAAATAATATGCTAAGCCATAAACCATAATTTACGAATTACAATGGGTGTGATCCCACAGCAAACTAAGCCAAAACCAGACAAACTATATTTTGGCTTAGGATACTGTGTATGTATTGGGACAAGAGCTAGGACAATCCTCATGTTATTCCAATTTGTTTTTGCTTTATAAATAGGATAGAATACAACACTGAAGAGGTACTTACTTCTGCCATTATATAATAGCACATGAATAGATATGGCAGGAGGAATAACAAGGGCATTTACTTGTGATTACATCCATCCATAGACTAATCTATGACTATTATTTCAAATTGTAAGCTGACAGAACCTGTTATGTGTAAAGAGAAAAATGTACTACCACCAGTATTTCTTTAACATTTTTGACTAGTTTCAGTCCTATTAAACTAATTTCTACTCAAAATGAAGAGTAGCTGAGGAGAAAATATAAAGAGAGAGGCTAGGATGATCTGTCATCCAACTCAAATGCATGAAAAAAACATACAAGAAACCAATGTACGAGAAAGAAAATGCAAATTAAAATGTATCCAAAGAGAATAGTCTGCTCTCCACGAATATTTATGACATAATTGTAGCCACTCAGTACACAATTTGCAATTGCAAATGCACGGAAACAATCTGTGTTGCTAAATCTGCTTCTGCAGCCATGAAAAACCTCCTGTAATAATAATTTTAAAAACCAAACCAAACCAAGCCTTCTTTCCTTCCTTCTTTTATTTATTTATATTATATTTCTAGTCTGGCATAATTTTTATCTGTTTGAAATTATGCCAAAATGAAAGCACATTTTAAAACTAACCAGAGCAAAAGATAGAGAGAATAGAAATGCCATTGTCATACGCTAATGAAATGACAACCCCTAGATCAGTGTTTCTCAACCGTGGCAGCTTGAAGAC